TTTGCTCGATGGCTCTGCGCGCTTCAGGTTTAGGTTCTGCCAGCAACCGGGAGAAAATTAAATGAAATTTTCACATTTTCATATGTCACTAACAACAATGAAGTATTTTTATTGCATAATTAACCCCACCCAAACGAAGAAACCCCATGCCCGAGTTCATTTTCGTGCCATAAACAAATTTAATGGCTGCTACACAGGGAAAGGAGAGCTCACCTTATTCTTGCTAACGAGGCACATAATCATCATTATAGCCATTTATGTCCATCTTTAATTGATACCAACTAGCTCTACTTATATACTTTTCCCATTACCGAGTGATACTTAAAAGTAAACAATATGGCTTCGTACTAAAATTGCAAATAAAAAATATTCAGAATATTATTCGTAACTTATCTGAACAGCTAAAAGAAAATAACCCAATAATTTCATTTATTAAAGGACATATTTTTCTTTATAGCCTAAATATAAAATGTGTGTTCTACTATTTTGGGCTGAAAAGTTAAATATTCTGGAAATTTGAATATTATAAGAGAGAGAGTTAAACGCACCTTAACGCCCAACAAATTGGATGCGGATATCGATTCTGATAGATTTTGTGAGATTTGATAAACTCAATCGTGCATTAGGAAGACCTAGGTTGAAAATTAGGATCTCTGAGATCGAAGCATAATTAATACACCCTTTTTACCCATTTTCCGTTCAGGGTATAAAAACCATTCAGTACAAGTTACATTTAAGGCCACATTATTCAGTTTGTATATCTTTAAAGCCTTTTTATTATTAAAACCTCTAATTGTACTTACAACATCAAATGTCTTTCGCAATAAAAAACACTTGATATAGTAAAAGAGTCGAGATAAAAGTAACTTTTCTATAAAACTGCGAAAGTTTATTTATTTACTGATTCCATTGCAACCTGATACGAAGCACTAAGCACGTCTGGCAACAACTTTGAAGTTTTACGCATTAATATGTTATTTGCATTCTCTCGAAAGCGGTTTTTCCTGATTCCAATAACCAAAACAAAGGAACGACTCTCACTTAAGACTAGATCCACGCACACACACACACACACACACGCGGGCACAACTGTGGGACACCTTCGGAGTTTATGACTTCGTCAGAGTACTTACATATATGGCTCAATAATCGGGCTGAATGAGACTCATTTAGTCTATCAAGTTATCGCTGGAACAGCTTTGGCTCCCACGCCTTGGCACTCGCACTTCCAAGTCGTTTTTGTTGTTGTTGTTGTTGTCTGCGCAGGCGTAATGAGGCGAAGGCAATGTCAAATACGCAGATCTCGAAGTGTGATTGGCGCTACATTCACGTGGGTGGTCGCCAATAAGAGTGCAACAGAGCGACGGGGCGGAGAGTGAGGAAGGACCGCACCCACGCCCACATGCGTAGGCCAGTGGATCAATGAGGTAAAATAGATTCGAAGATTTGCATGCGCCAGAGTAAAAGCTCATTAAGAGCCCCCACGAATTAGACGACGGTGAATAAATCTTGGCTAAAGGGTGTTGAGAAACAACGAGGCCCAAATTCACATCCAGATACAGGGCCAATCCAGACCCGTCACCAGATACCGAGATGCCAAGATGCCAAGATGCCGAGATACTGAGACACAGAGGCCGGAGCGAAGGCTCGTTTGTAATGCCGGCCCTTGAGCGCATTTCGTTGTAACTTTGTGTTTCATTAATAATCCGAGAGCGGAAAGCGGAGAGCGGAGAGCGGCCGCTTCATAAATCTTGTGTCGCATAATTACAGTTAAAATTTATAAGCTTATCTCCTTAGCCGCAAATTTATTAGCGTGTTACAAGGCGCAACGATGGACGCGACGGACGCTGCAGTTCGTCAAAGCCGAATGATGTCGTTGGCGGCTTTGTCTGCTCCCCAAACGGGAACAACAACAACAACAACAACAAGGATGGGGCTAACGTGGAGGAGACGGCGTCGGAGCAGGGCTGGAGACGAGCACAGGCCGCGCTCATTATGGCCAAGTATCGAAAATGTGTATTTAAAACGGCGTGAAAAACAATTTGTTGCCAATTTTATGACACCTCGCGCCTTGCCACAACTCATCTGCCAGACGAGGACCGTGCGGCAAGTGAAGTCCAGATGGATGCGGCCTGCGAGCTCCGAGATGCAAACAAATTCATTTGAAGTCCGTGGCTGCAGCTTCAACTGTAGCTGAATCTGCGACTGTGACTGAGACTTTGACTGGGGCTGTGGTCGGGCCGAAAGCGGGTACTAAGTGTCAACCCCATAGATTTATGCGTATTGTCTTTTTTCGGGTTACTTGGGCTCACATTCCGGGAAGGCTTCGACTGCGACCGAGACGGAGACGGAGACTGGGGCCAAGGCTGCTGCCAACCGACTGCCGAACATTAATCATTGGGGGCCAGCAGTTTTGCGGCAGCACTCGAGGCGTTGTAATGTGCCTCAGCTCGGACTGGGATCTGCCGGCACTCTGGCCGGCCGAAAGCTCTGGGGCCTTTGGCGGGATTAATGTACGCGCGCAAGGTATTTTGAATGGGCTTTTTATGGTCACATTTATTGAATTTATAACGTAATATACTCGCGCCATGACTCATTCTTAGAGTTGCAACTCCAGCCCCAGCCCCAGACCCATCCCAGGCCCAGCTCCGCCTACGGGTCCAGTTCCGATTCTCGTCCGCTTCGATTCGAGTGCAATAAAAAATTATGCTTAAACAAAATACTTAACTTTAAATTCAACAAAATATTACTAAACTTAAATTGACTTTTTATGAAGTCATCTGCACGCAGCGCGTGCCATAAAAATTCACTTAAGCAGCGACACCCACTCACAACACGCACAACTCGATCGCACACTCATACTGCTCGCTGTCCATTCCAATCCCAATCCCGATCCCTTCCCCTTACCGTTCCCATTCCCCGTCAGCCTGCTGCTTATGCTTGTGCGAATAAACTGCACTTTGTTATGCTCGTAAACAACGTCTTCAACTTTTGTCACCCAACGCTTACCAAAAAGACCAAAAATGTCGCCAACAATGAAACCCAATACCAAACTGTAAATCATCCACAAAATTAAGATGTTTGCCCGCTCGAAACTGATCTTTCCCTCTTGTTATTGCTGCGGATGTTGTCTGAGTGCAAAATTGTATTTCAACTCGGAACAAATCATATATATCTATAATTTATACAAATACTACAAATCTGTATCACGTTTATTTACATTAATCCGAGAGATAAATAAAGCAGTTCAGACTGGATTTCGTTTTCGTTTAAAAGAAGAGATCTTTCAACTAAAGGTTTTCTCTATGGAATGACAGACATATCTTTTAATGAGTTTCGTATTTAGGAATCTCAGGATTAAAAGAAATAAATGCAAGTTTCGATCTCAGGGTTACAAATTCCGCCCTTGGACAGTTTAAGACAGCATTTGTAGTTAAGCTGAATGAAAGATTCTAATTATTTCGTTAGGCTTCTCAACATTCTGAAACCCTAAGTTATTGAATGTATTCTTATTTCTTTATTATATTCTATTAATTCTATTCTATTTTAAGTAGAGTAAGTAATCGTGCTCGTAAGACACTTGGATCTGTTGCACATGTGGTCTTAGTTGGATTCAACAGCATTTCCATCAACATCATAATAATTCGAGTACCGCATATTTTGGCGTTTTGCACTGTTCCAATCCTTAGTCTGACAGCCACTTTTGACACCTACGCGTCGCTGCACTTCAGGCAAACTTAAAAAAGCATCCGCCGTCTCCAAGGTGTCAATTTGTGCCGTTGGCATGCCAGCACACACACACATTTACACGCTCAAACACACAAATACACTAACGCACAAATCCATTCACAGATACCGGCTGTGTTGCTGGTTGTTGTTTTGCTAAGCCCATTGAATATAAGTAAATCGGGTGTATTGATTCGGTGCAAATGTATGTAACAGGTAGATGAAAGCATCTCCGACCTTATAAAGCAATATCAATCAGTCTGTGTTAACGAGTCAATCTTGAAAACTACAATATCTAGAGTTTTGTAAAATATTATTTCGTAAACGCGTTTAAAATGTTGTTCTCATAGCATCGATAAATATCGATGTTTATATGTGGTTTTTCATAGAATAATTCAAAGACTATTAGAGCCAGATGCACCAAACTTCTTATGTAATTCCACTCAGAGTTTATAATAGTATAGTAGTATAGTATACAAATAAGGAATATTACATTTGTTTCCACTCAAATTTGAAAAATTTTGAAAACTTACATTTAAACGTGAAGCCTTTTGCTTTGTTATCTGAAGATTTCATTAAGATCGGACAATGAAGACCGATGCAAATCACGAAAGCATTTTCAATAGACATGGGAAGAAGAATAAATGTATTTATTATAATATATATTATATATGTGTGTAAAAGATAGGTCGAATGTTTTTAATGGTTGCATTGCTCGGGGTATGTGGCTTAGGGTATCTGGTAGTCGGGCACTGTGACTTGACTTGTGTTGTTTTGTTATTTCTTTGACGACTGTGTATGCAAATTTAATGGCTAAATTAGACAGAAAAACGTTAACGTTTTCGTAACGTTTCGGTATGGGCAACTATTAGGCGTGATTATGGGCCAAGATTGCTTTCAAGTATAATTTGCATAATGAATTTAATGCGATTGTAATACCAGCAATTGTCGATCCCCATCCCATCCCCATCCCCATCCCGATCCAACTCCAACTCGATCGTAGCCTCATTAATTGAGTAATTAATGCCGACGCCCACGGCCAATTAGAGAGTCAGCTGCCACGATGATAACGAGCTAATCATCATGATCAGCTCCAAATCTCGGCTGGGACCACCTACCTGGCAGCCCGATTCGATTAGGCGCGATTCGATTCGGCTCCGTTGGGAATCATAAAAATATGCAAAGATGGAATTAAGCAAATCAAAACAGCGCTTTGTGTATAATTTAAATGTTTATTAAATTATTTATATTACTTGTGTTGGTTTTCTGTATGATTTTTTTTTTTGCATTATTTTTCTATTTCTAAGTTTATTATACAAAAACACGCAGCGCAGCGCGGGCCAGCTCCGACTGCGACTCCATCTCCACCGCATCCGCATCCACGTCCACATCCGAGCGGGCAAATCGCGTCGCGTGCGCCGAGGGGGGACTAGAATATTTTACAACTTAATTGTTTAGCAACTTTAAGCACTAAGCTTACACGCTACGCAATAAATTTAAATATTAATATTATGGTTAATTATACAATAAATATTGCCCCTATGATGGCTCGGCCGCTGCCGCTGCCGACGCTGACGCCGATGCCGCCGCTGCCGCCTCCTGCAGCTCCTGCAGTTCCTCCTCCTCGCGCGTCAGCGGCACCGTCGAGTGATTGTAGAGGCCCTGGGCCATTAGCTGCAGCGCCAGCGGATTCTTGGTGCCGCTCGACTTTTTCAGCTTGGCCCGCTTGTTCTGGAACCAGATCTTGATCTGCGCCTCGTTCAGGCCCAGCTCGCCGCTCAGCTGCTGGCGGCGCTTCTCTGTCAAGTAGCGGTTCTCATTAAACTCATGCTGTTCCCCACGCGGAGCAAGAAAGAGAGGGAGATAAACATTTGGATGTTATTGGGAGTTGCACCTCAATGGACTCACCTTCAGTCGGGCCAGCTGGGTGCCGCTAAAGGCGGTGCGGGGTCGCTTGTCCTCCGGCACGCCGCCGCATCCGGAGGCGCCGTCCGGATCGGACTTGTCGCCGCTGCTGCTGCCCGCAGCGCTCGTGGTCGCTGGCTTCTTGGGCTTGCGAGTACGCGGACCTGCGACAGGGAGACAGAGGCAGAACAAAAGAGGGAGGTCATAAAAATTCCACGGCGCTGTTAATGGCAACAACATGACTGGACCAGGGACCAGGGACCAGGGACCAGGGACCTGCTGCCAACTCATCGCGCACACATAAATCCTGATGCTCATATATGCAATGCTGATGGCCAGCAATTAATTCACATTTAAATGCGCTCCAGACAACCCCTGGCTAGCAGCCCCCTCCCCCCTCCCCTGTGGCGGCCCAGCTCAACCCCCACTCGAGGCCAAAACAATTAAAGTTTCGAAAATTTGCGCGCGTCATTTTCAAAAGTAATCAACGCAATGACTTTTGACTGTGGCTAATTTCCAGTCCAACCCCCACAACGCCCCAAGACAGCCCCCGCCCCGCGCCCGCTCTTGAGCTGCGAGCAGGGAAGAGCCACCCCCACCCTTAACCGAAGCTGTCTTCACTTTTCTCGACTTGAGTTGTCTTCCTTTTAATTAACAGCTGCGGGGCAGACAAGCGCAGAAAATCAACGTCCCGGCCAGCATCGGCAACCACGCCCAATTTTCACTCACAATGTGAAAAGGAGAAAAGTTTTTGCCCGGAGAGTGTGGAGAGGGGGAGGGGGGGGGGGGGGATATCGAATCGCTATGCAAATAACAAAATTGTCGTAAAAGGGTTTTCAAGTTGGAAAAGTTGAGCTCATTTCAAGAAATAGTTTCGCTGAAATGAAGCAATTATGAGGTTTACTAATGGGCATTTCTGGGACCACTCGCATTCCTAACAGCGCCACGAGTGACCGCAAGCTGCTTTGTTTTCCAGCATCTTGTGGCCCAAAGTATTTTGTAATATCAGCTTCCATTCATCATAAGGCTCCTCGCTCTGCCTGTTCGTGCTAAGTGTGTAAGAATAATATTTGGACAGTTAGTCTTGAAAATATTTAGCAGAAACTCTTTAAGGGATTTTTTGTGGGTGTTTCTTCAATCCTGACTTTCCTCAATGCAACTTTAATAACTAAAATACAGCAGCTCTCAAGGATAATTATTCCTTTAAAGGTTAAGTTCTTTTATTAGCCGAAACTTGTTGGAATAAATAGGAACCCCATCACCAAGGAGAACTTGCCTTAATAGCTAGCTTCTTTTTCAAGCCAGAAAGTCAGCACAATTCTACCTCATTGTTAAGTAGCTCAAACCTCTTTTTAGATAATAATTCCGAAGGACTTTCTGGGATTGTCTGACATCTGGAGCTTTTCATGTAACCTTACCTACAGTCATATTGTGTTGCTTCCCCTAATATTGAAGTAATCTCCTAATCTAAGCTTCCCGTCATCATCTGATTCAGTTGCTTGACCTTTATCAAGTACTCAGACCTCTCTCTTAACAGGAGGTTAAAATCAGTTTAAAAGGGCTAACCAAGGGTTTGAACTGTCTAAGCTACACTTATTAGATCTATCTCCCCCACTCCAAATATATATTTAGTAGCGCAGCGTTTAAGGTCGATTGTTGGCCAGAGCAAACAATTTGCGGACATCTTATCATCGTGTACTTACTTCGACCTGCAATGAGAAGAATGAAAAGAAAACATTTAACTTTTACGCTAGACAATTGAAAATTAAATTTGCTTTTAACGCGAATCAATAAAATATCGAAAATTGATTAAATTCCTTGGCGGCAGCAAAGTTTCTCGCTGTCGAAACGTGCAAAAATTCCAACAGAATCCCAGTCCCAGTCCCAGTCCAGCCTGAATCCTGTGATAGACTATGCCGCCGGGTTCGAACAACCTTCGAAACAAATGTACCGGAACTAATGGCAACCGGCAACCAAGTCATGCCCTAAGTTAAATCGTTGGAAAAATTGAACAAATCAATTTTGTCAACAATTTCGGTCGGTGCGAAGCTGCCAACGGGCGCGAAATTAAACCAAAAACATTAACAGTACATGGAACAACGTGCCTGCACGTGTTGTCCGAAGGGGGCGTGACGGTGGTGGCTGAGGTGTTATCACGGTTTTAAATTTCACACGCAGCTCGACAACAACAACAAACAACAGACCTTGAACCTGTCAGACAGCCAGAAGACGACGTCGACTGCCAACGGGCAACGGGCGACTTCTGCCTCGTCATCGCCAGCGGCAGGCAGCGGGAGAATGGAGAAGGGTGAAGGGAGAAGGGAGACTGAGCTACAACCACCCAGTCGAGGAACGCATGTTGCCGGGCAGATAAGCCGGCACCAAGTTGCATACCAAGGCGTCGCAAGGACATTGCCAAGGGGTTGGCAGGTTGCCAGTTGCTGTTTCCGCTGGCTGCCCCTCATTTTCAAGCTGCAACAATTGCTGGCGTCGAATCTGTTCCCGTTCCCGCTCCCATTCGCCGCCCTCTTGCCTTTTCCCTTTGTGGAAATTGTGATTTATAGCGTGTTAAATTTTTCATTGCTTGCTGCGCAAATTTGACACAACAAAAGTTTCAATGTTGCCCTCTCGATGCTGCCGAAGGATGAGCTTTTCTGAGCGGCGTTCGGGGGGTTTTGCCAAATTGGCTTTAATAGAAATTATATGAACTCAATCAACAATATATCCAATTGCATGCAAACAAGCATTAAAAAAATCGAAGGTAACTTATTAAATAACCTGGCTTAAATTAATCCCTTTGGCAATATGTATTAATATTATATAGTCCAGTACGAATTGCACTACTCAGCGCCCTTCTCTGCGCTTCTCAGGCACTATTATCACTGCGTTTGCATTGATGCTTTTAGAAGAGAAAGAAAAATAGGCAGGTAATTTATCTGATAACCTGGCTTAAGTTAATCCCTTGTCAAAATGTATTAATATAATCTAGTCCAGTACGAATCACACGACTTGGCGTCCTTCTCTGCGCTTCTCAGGTACTTTTAACATTGCGTTTGCATTGATACTTTTAGAAGACACAACACTGCATCTAAACATGAATCTATCGGACTACAACATCGACTACAGCAACAACTGATCAGCTTAACATGCACAAAAAACGCTCAGACAAAAAAAACCACGAATGTATTCACATAAATTGTTTTCATTTGCAGAGCTCATCTCAAAATAAAAGGAGAAAAAAACACAACACAACATCAACAAAACAAAACAAAACAAAACGCGGCTGTGTAGTGGCAAAAACGGGAAGATGTCTTCATCATCGGTTGTTAAACGCAATGACCCAACTTGGTAAGAGCCGCTGCCAACTGCCAGAAGTTGGCAGCAAAAGAGTCGGCTGCCAACTGGCAAACAAAAAATCAACCAAGTCAGCGTCCGAGCCAGGCCGAGTCGGTGTCCATTTGGGCATATGTTTAAAATAAGCGCATTTGTTTTATTTATGCTTAACATGAGTTGCAAATGCCAAAAACAGCCGACAACTGCTGCAGAGGAACTCAAAATCGGGATGGCAACGGGAATGGGAACGGGAACGGGTCTGGCCGCAGATGAGTTACCATTTTGGCAGCAAATGAATGAAGCTGAACGAGTGCGCAATTAAGTGTCCAGGGACTGAGCGGGAGCGTCACGTAATAGGCGCTTCGATTTGAATGTTACAGATAGGTCAGTGCGGAGGAGCTGGAGAAGCTGGCCCAAAGACTTTGTCGTTGGTAAAGCACGCGCACAACATGGCCAGAAACGAGCACAGCTCAAATTGACTTATAAAGATCTCAAACTAACGGGCCACACACAGCTCCAGAGTCCGAGCCCGTCACTGGGGAGCCATAGAGACGGCAGCCAGAACCGGCAACCAGAACCAGAACCAGCTGGTTAACTTGGCCCGGGCGGCGACTGAGCCATGTAAGCGATATGTTCGACAGTGTCGATGGGGGCTTTGCTTCACTTTTTCCCTTCTTCTTGTTCTTGCTCTTCTGGTTGGGGCCTCCGCGCTGATATCGGATCTCTTGTTGCCCAATCTAATGATCGGTCAGCTCATTAATAAGCCATAAAAACAACACGTTACCAGGGAAATTTACGCGCCGAGAGTGAAAGTCGATTCATTATGACAGTCCATAAAGATGACGAACAGATTTAATGATGAAATGCACCCGATTCAGGAATTTAAACAATAATTCATAACTGGGCAGTAAAAGGTATCAGCAAAGCTGAGAGTAACCTTTTATCACTGTAATACCTGATATGGAAAATCAAAGCAGATTTTCCACAGTTACCCGTCAATATCTTAAGGTTGAAGAGTAAAGATTTCATTTAAATATACAACGATACAACTTCTTCCATAACTATAAATTATTATTCTTAAAAGCGACAACAATCTGAGTCAATATCCTGGCTGAGTTCTTAGCCCAAACAAGAACCTATCCACCAAGTTTGTTGTATCTAGCTCTTAAATTCTTCAAATTGCGATTTTAAAACCAAATCTTGTCGATATTTTGAAAATAGGAGGAGTATAGGAGAAAACCTTATAGGCTCGTTCTCACATAAACCTTCGCATAAACGGACATATGGAGAGACGGATCTCTTCAGCTCGTCGTCCTCATCAAGAATACATATACTTTATGGGGTAAGAGTTTATATAGAAAATCGTATGCTTAAAGAATTTAACTCTTTACAAAATAATTTGAACAAAAATAAACGGAGATATCAGATTCTTATTTGACAAACAACATTTAAGACAATGATGAGTTATTATTATTGTCAATGCAATGCTTGAGCTATAGGTTAACACAGCGGGCATCAAAGCATCATAATTTAATTTATGATTTATGACTCAAAAATCCCATATTGAATGAGTATTAATGAGTATTTTATGAGTATTTTATTTCGTGGATATCAAATATCAAATGAAAATCTCTTCTTGTTCTGAATACACTCTTAGGCCTGATAGCACCTGCACAAATTTCATCTCAAGTCTTTGTTGCTTTTTACCTCCCCCTCCCACCATTCGTGCACCCGCTCGCATGACAGGCAAATTAACGCTGCGGTTGCAATTGCGGCCCCAATGCCTAAGCCTTTGCCACTGATGATGATTGACACGACGATTGATTTGATCGCACGTTAATTGAAATGATTGACACGCCGCAGCGACAATCACAGTCTCAGTTGCAGTCTCAGCCTCAGTTGCAGTTGCAGTTGCAGCTGCAGTCATAAGT